TTATTTATTTAGTTATTATTTAATGTGATATAATTTTCTGTAATGGATTACAGTAACTATTTTGATTTGCATCTACTACATACAATTCATGTTTCTATAGCAAATGGCTTGTAGGGACAGAAATTAAGTGGAAAGTGTCAAGAATGTATTGATTATCCATAACTGGTTAAAAAATTTTAAATGAAAACCACAAAATGGAACAGTTTGGTTGTCATATGCTGGTATATGTTATTAGATTAATTACAAAACCTGATACAGCAGATCAAAGATATTTTCACAGGGATTCAAAAAATAACTATATGAAAAAAATGGTTGTAAATCATTCTGAATGATTTAGTTAATTCTCTCAAGAAATAGGATAGCAAGACACATAAAATAGTTTCATTCTTAAAAACAAACACTAATAAAGACTTGATAGTAACATATACTTTATGATTATTTGTTTAGGTGATAAACAAATACATTAATTTAACATGAGAATGATGAGCTTAAGAGTTAAAAACATCAAACTTGTAATTTTTCTGCAGTTTCTGGTTTTAACTTAATAATAAATTTTATGACAGTGTTCAATATGGAGTGTGGTTATAGCTAGAATTCTAATGTTTAAAATATCTGTTTTCCAAAAGCTGTGACATCATGTTTTCATATATCTATAAATTGGAAAGTTAAGTTATTCTGAAATACCAACAATGGTGTTTTATGAAGCCACTTAAGTGCACATGTATCAGTGGACTATTTATGTGTGTTTTTATTATACTCAAAATACAAGTTAGGGCTTTAAAATCAATGTAAATTAACCACTTTCATACTTTTAAAAGTTTCTAGGCATTTATTATTTGAAGAATGAGAAATGTAAATACAGTTTGCTTCATTCGATCTAGTAAATTTTGTAAAGAATTTTACTTATTTTAATGCAATTATACATGCTAACAGCTCAAAGATTTAAATTTTCATTTTCAGGAATCTTCTATTTGGTTAGTGCCACCATACCATCCAGACACTGTTTAGTAAACTTTTGAAACTTACTAAAAGAGGTTTTTAATAATGGTTAGTATCCTTGTGCCTTTCTTTTTTCTTTTTGTAGTCTGTTACATTAATGTGGAGAAACATTTTCATTGCTGTTTTCACTCTAAGGGACTTCCCTTATGTAAGGACACAATGCATGGGTTTCCACCCCTGAGAAGAAGTGATTTACAGGCAAAATAGTTTTCCCTCTGGTATTTCTCTACACTTATTTCTTCCTCCCTGTCTCCTTCACTCCTTCCTTGCTTCATTTATTTCTCTTATTCTTTCCTCCTACTAATTCTTTATGATAACTTGGGAAACTCATGTAAAGTGCACATGATTTTTGTAAAGCCTATTTCATAGTTCAATTTAAAAAAACTTAAAAATTCTAAACACTCTTGGGAAGTAGAAAAATCTGTTTCTATTGAATGATAACAAGTTAAAGCTTTATGTAAACGTTATAGTAACTTTCTGACAGCATATAATAAGGACATTTCACAAAACTATGTGATTTCAATTTTAGATATATACACAGATCAAGATAGGGAATTTATATTACAGAACTATAACAAAAACCAAACCAAAACTAAACAAAATAAGATGTATACCCTAGTTAAAAACAACTAAGTCATACTTTATGATATCATTAAATGCCTTTAATTTGTTCTGTTGATTCCAAAATCTTTCTGAAATTGAAAGGATGTCAAAAGTTTCATGATGGATTTGAAATAATCTCTCGATGAGATAAGAACCTATCTTTTCACAGTAATTTTATTTGTAACCTAAAGGAAAACTATTTTTCAGGTAATCTTATACTGATAGATCAAAAAGGAACTGGCAAAATTCAGCTTATTTAGAGAGAAGATTAATAAAGTTGATATTTTGACATTATACAATCAAGACCATTGGTTGATTAAAGGTTGCTTCACTAAAATTTTCACTTTATAATGGCTTTGTAAAATAAATGAAGTCTAAAATGATAAAGGTGGGTTACAGGTTTATAATTTTGAGATTGTTTCTAAATTGGTAACTATAATTACTTAAGATAATTTAAAAGTATAAAAGATAAACTATTCTGATCTTAGATTGGAACAGGTTTTGCCTACATTTTATATTAGTCTTAAAATCTGATATTTCATGAAATTACTTTTTAGTTTTATGTCTTCATTTATATTCTAAGGTAAACATAGGGTACCAATTATTGAATTTACTAGAAATAAAATTGAGTCATTTGTAGTTGCATGTATATGACACTTATAAGATTATTTCCTAAGAAAATTGGTTGCTTAGTCTACTTCTTTAGTACAGACAAAAAAATAATATTTCTGCCTTTTCTGCTTTGAAACTAATGTAATCAAAATGCCTGAAAATTGAGACTACCAAACAAACGTGATACAAATTAGTCAGTGTTGGGGGAATTTGGTGCATTTGAACAAAAATATTAATTCAAACAATTCCGTATTTCACGTCCTACAACATTTTAAGGGTAATGGGATCAAGGTCTGAGCCTGTCACGTTATCTAATCCATTCTTCTGTTAAATGTTTCAACAGAGAGCCAAGACTAAATTACCTCAAGACTATGTATTTCTCCCCCTTTTGGAGTCAGATTTTTCCATTTCTGCAGTGTTGTCATCATCATCATCTTCATCATCATTATCATCATGTTCTTAATAAATACATCTAATAGTAGGTATTAAGCAATGAGAAACACTGTGTCCATACATTGGCTGGCAGGTGCCATAGAAGTCCTTTAATAGATGTATAATTCATGAATTTCAGAACTGTTTATTTTAACAAATAATAAATAATGAATGTTAGTGACTATAATTAATGGGAAATTTATGGATAACATTTAATCATCACCCATTTTCAGTGATAATAAATTAACATTTTTACTAATTTTATGTTATTTAACAAATGAAAAGTTTTACATTTGGTTTCGTTAAGCTTCTAAATGTGAAAAAGTTTTAAGCAATTAAATCAGAAAAACTGTTAAATAAGAGTTAAAATATTAGGGCCATGTGTAGTTATTGTTGTTAATAATTAATTAGGTTGCTATTGTTAATTAGATCAGCACTTAAAGAACACGTGTGTGTACAAGCAGTGCCATAAGAAATTGCTCTCTGCTCTTTACAGTTCAGCGTGAATGATGCATAGGAGACCTAGAGGCCTGATAGAAAAGCATAAAAATGAGTACAAAATACTGGAGAATAGAACTAAATTGAGTGAAAATATTCAGCCTGTGGAAAGGGTTTCCTAGATAAACTAATATCTGAGTCATGTCCTGAGCTAAGGGATAAAGTGGTAGTTTTATAAAAATGAAAAACCGAAACAGGATAACAGAGCAAGAAGAAGCAAAGGAGAAAAGTTGTGGTGGTACAAATAGGGAAGGCTGTGTAGACAGAGAAAGGGAGAAGTTGGGGCGAGGGAAGATGGGGAAATGGGGAGAGGGCTGAATCAGAGAAGTCACAATGGGAGACATGATTTGACCTGTTTCTTACAGGAGAAAATGTTGTTAATAATTTATGGTTAAATATGTAGATTATCCTGGCAACTGTGAGCACTTACAGATGGAATATAGTAAACACACACTTAGGAAGGCCAGTAAGTAAGTTATTTAAGGAACTTATCAGAGAAAAATGAGGATATAGACACAGATGAATAAAAAGGTGTCAAAAATCTCATAACTTGGATACACTGTAGAAGATGGTGTGAATGACAGGAAGTCACTTACCCTCTGATTTACTGTGTCTCTCATGTACAGGCCTAACTAATGTATTGTTTAAAGTGTCACAAAAGACCATGGATGCAAATTTTAAGAACGTCAGACATATGTGTGCTAAAATTTTTATTCTATATCTCTTAGAAGTAGTCTAAATTAAGAAACAGCAAGGTAGAAATACCTAATGCAACAAACAGGCCTTCACATGCATTTTTGATTAGGTTTATTTCATCATGTTTTCATATCACTTTTTTACAGTTCTGTAACTGTTTTTGTACTTGTCAATGTTTGGTTGATGTCTAGATTTTTTTGGTTCTTATACAAAAAGAGCCTAATTTGAGTTTCAACTATGATATGCTGCAGTTGGTTTATCTGATTTGAGTGTAACTAACACATAAATATCTCAATCAAGTGGAGAAAGAAACTAACCAAATTTTGTTTCATGTATACAACTCTGTAATGGAATTCTGAGGAGCTGTGATAATGATTCCCCAGATATACAGAATATCTAGAAAATCTTTTACAAATAAGATGGAATTAAGAAAAAAAATATTGGGTCATTTTTATTTCTCATGGGATAAATTATTTTCAGCTCTCAGTTGTCAAGTTGTTCATGACAAAACAAAGATAATATTTGTTCATAGATGTTTAACACGTTACAATTTGTCATTTCATAATTAAATCACATTTGTTTCTAATCACCATTCATATTTTATAGGTAAAGTCACAAAAATGTAATTAAATACTAGAAATTATTTTCATAGCTTTGTCTGTGTGAGTGCTATTTTTGTTGTTTTGAGATGCATAATGAAGAGTCAATGTTTACAGAAAATTTACATATTTCATCTTGTGATCTGAAAAGTAGTACATTTCTTCTATATTGTTTACCTTTTAACTGTCAAGAATGGATTTCTGGTGCAGATTTATGTATGTTTGAATTTAAATTTTAAGCTAGATTTTTATTTTATACTGATCAATTTTATATATGTCATCAGAAAATCTTTTTCAATAGATATGAATTATATACATTACTAGCTGAGAGTTCTTTTCTGTATCAGGTGGATATAAACTAGCCCACTTTGATGGCATATTTTAATTATAATATGTTGTATCTTAACACTGTAAAAATTTGTTATAACTTTTATAATGAAAAATTTCAAACCTTTGAGTCTGCTAAATTGGCAAGTCTATTGAGATGGATTTTAATATTGTTTCTGGAAATTTACAATTTGTCTGTTTTGTAATATTCAAATATTCTGTGTTTTTCTGTAGAGATCCTTCTGTAGTGCTATGGTAGAAGAACTGAGGATGTCCCTGAAGTGCCAGCGTCGTCTAAAACACAAGCCACAGGCCCCAGTTATTGTGAAAACAGAAGAAGTTATCAACATGCACACATTTAACGACAGAAGGTTGCCAGGTAAAGAAACCATGGCATAAAGCTGGGAGGCCAAACACCCAAGCACAAACTGTCGTCTTTTTTTCCAAGCAATTTAGCGAGAATGTTTCCTGTGGAAATATGCAACCTGTGCAAAATAAAATGAGTTACCTCATGCCGCTGTGTCTATGAACTAGAGACTCTGTGATCTAAGCAGTTACAATGATCAGACTTGATTTACAAGCATCATGGATCAACCAAGTTACACGGGGTTACACTGTTTATCATGGGTTCCTCCCTTCTTCTGAGTGAATGTTACATGCGCATTTTGTGGCTGGTTTCAAATGCAGTCCAGTGAGCAATTACAGGTTCTTTTGAAGCCCATCTGTTACCAGGAGATGGAATGTCAATGCCCAACAGGGTAACCAGTAGAAAAAAGTCTTTAAGAATAAAAATACTTGGAATCAGCAAAAACTGTAGTGTAACAAGAAACAGTACAGTCTTCTGAGCAGCCAGATAATAGAAGTGATTGTTACTAGCCCCCACTACTCAGTATTATTGTCTGAATAAACAACATGTGTTTATAGGATGTGAAAAAAATGTAATGCAAAACACATCTGAATTCCATGGAAAGTGGAATATAAAGCAGATCTTCATCAATTGTTTTTCTTTCTTTTTTTTTTCTTTTTCTGATAGTCTGTGTTGCTGATTGAGATAGAAATATCAATTATGAAGGCAATAATTTTTTTTCTTAAGTTCACCAAGACAAGAGATTTAACATGCAACTCTACCAGATCCCTACTTATTCTCCTGATACCCTTTCCCTAACCCCACACCAGAAATAAAAATGCAACAGTTGATTCATTGTTTCTGAGTCGAAAGGATGATGTTTTGCAATCTTTGTCTGAACTTGTAAAGGAGGGCTCAACATTGATTGGTTATGTGAAGGCAGAAGCTTTCATGCTAACATTAAGATACGTCAATCCAAACCCTTGTTCCTGTTAGAAATGAACTTGATGGAGTCTGGGCAGATCTTGATGATAAGAGAAAGGGGACTTGTCATCTACAGTAAAGTATGTGAAAAGAACTTTGAAGTGGACTGCATTTAACAATACAGTCACAATGTTAAATGAACAAAATTCTTGAGCAGTTTTTTTTCAAAAAAATGTTCAGGTTTATTTGTGGAAATGCAAGATTTCTATGAAAATAGTTTTTGTATGGAAATTTTTGTAATACTTTTTATCAACAAAATAAGAACATGTGTTCCTGTCAGGGGTGTGATGTCAAGCATGAATGGTAGTGCGTGTGCACCACCAACGTTTGGTGAAAACTATTTTTATCAAGAAAAAGGAATCATAGAAGAGAAATATTTTCAAGTTAGATAATATAAAAGCTAGGTGCACTACCACCACTGCTTACCATGCCACACCCCTGGTTTCCATGAGACTGACAACATGCTGTAATGAACAATTGTGTGTAAAATGGTAAAAGACACAGACCTCTTGACAACATTGTGATAACAGTTGAGTGCACACAGTTTGCTGTTTGAATCCAATGCACAAAATTAAAAAAAAAAAACATTAAAATTATGTCCATTTTACTTTCAGCTTTGACTTTCATTTTTCTCTTGCATGTATAAGTATGTGCACCATATACTCTGTGTTAAGGGAAGTACGCATTCTGAATCCTTCTAGGTCATCAAACATGGCCACTTCCCAACACCTGAAGACAAGAAGAAAGCTTGGAGAAGGAGCTACTCAGACTTAGGAAAACCTGGACTGTGATGTAATGTAGTCTTTAGGCTTAGGGTAGTTAAAAGGAGAAAAATTAGTGATTCTAGAGATAACAGTCATAATCTGACCCTTTCTGTGAGTGGATACTGACTATGTTCATTGGGTTGTACAAGATTATACAGTGATCACTGGTATTTGAAGTTTAGCTCATATCCAATTTAAGAATTTCTTGTGTATTAATAGTCCAGTGGAATTCAACAAAGGGAAAGGAATAGATTCAATATTAATAATTTTGATGAAGTTTAGATTTTAATACACTAGTAGAATCGTTTTAATCATTAATCATAATTTATTTTCTATTATTTTTGATAACACAATCCATAAAATTTCATTTATATTGCTGATTAATTAATTTACTTAATTTTAAATGAACATTACATTTAGAGCCCCTGACAGAAAATAAATGAACAAAATCTCTGAGAAGCATTTCTTCAGTCTAAATTGTCACATAATCAAATCGCCTAATATCTAAATTAAGTTAAAATTTAAAAACCCAAGTGCTTTAAAAATTTTTTGGTGTTATGATTATTTTAAGTTCAAGTTTATATTTCAGTGATAATTTTGTTCTAAGATATAATTTTAGAGAATTTCAAAAATCATTTCTAAAACCTCTTATTGTTTAGTTACTTGGTAAACAACCTCAAATAACATATTTAACAAAATTTGAGTTTTGGATAATGTTAAACTTTTCATCAATCACATTTTAATTTGAATTTAAGGCATTTTAAAATTTCAATTTTTTATTATATTAAACAATCTTAGTGAGTAGACAGGAGGTACACATCTTTAGTTTTTAAGTAGTCAGAAAATGATTATTTGTATTTTCAATAAAATTTGATATTTTACTCTCTATTAAGTTAGTAAATTTCAAAAATTATTAATAACTTGCTGCATTTTAACTCTATAGATAATACAGATTATAGAGAGTGGATAATTTTTTTATTCAATTTCCTAAAAGGTGTCTATAATATGGTCAAAATCGATATTTTCCTACATTAGGTACTGATACATACATGAGATAATCTTAATTGTAATGAAATATTACTTTCAAAATAAATTTCAAACAATAAAAGAAAGTCTCCTCTCTGAGAAGGCAGTGTGTTGGAGTAAACATTATTTTCAAGAATGGTATGCAAATTGCAAAGTGAGGAAGAGAGTATTTCTTCTAGTCAACAGCATAACCTGTGACTTGAGGTAATGAATGGAGACACATACACCACAACTGTACAATCCTAACCAGGGTGCAAATGACAAAGATTTATATTCATAAACAACACATCTAATTAACTGGAACTACTATGAGAACACCAATTATATAAATGCACAGGTGGATATATCTATAACTTCCCATGAATAACTCTAACTACTAAGGAGATTCTATTTAATAGATGCATAAAATGGATATGGATATTTTATTGACTGCAGTGTTTTAAACATTGGAAAATTCAGTCATGTATATTTGCATCTATACATATTTATTTTAAATACAAATTACACATTGCTATTGTTGAATGACTGCATGTGCTGAGTACTAATGATTTCAAAGTATTTTAACCCCAAGATACTTTTTAATATCTGTTGGTTATGAAATAAACTATATATTCAGAAGAGTATATACAATGTTTATGTGTAGCAGATCAAGGCACCTGACTGGAGTGTGGAACAAAAATTGTACTTTGGAAGGAGTGGGCTGTTGTATATATTCTGAGTCTAGGCTTATGGAGGCTCTTGGGCAACTGTCAGATGTAAATTTAATCAGTGTAAATTTTCACAAGAGACAAAAGAGTATCCATCTGTTTTAAAGAACAGAGTGTGAAAAGTCCAAGAATTTCATTAGTGTGCAAAATACTCAAATGAAGTATGAAGAGCAATGGGCCAAGCTTACCTTGAGAATTTGCCTTCAGGTTTAAGATAGAATGACACTGACATTGAGGATTTTGGTTAATGACAGCTCTGTGTCTAGAATTTGAGTCACTGTGTTCCAATATGAGCTAAAGGGTCATTCTCTGTACCTGCAGAGGAATTATTATCTCAAGATCCCTCTCTTCTTTTGCTTTCTGGGGGTTCAATTTTCCCCTGGTCTGTGAAAAATCTTGTTTTCCCTAACATGTATCCTCTCTAACTTTGATTCATTATGTACTTTTGGTTACTTCTAGAGAAGAGTGCTTGAGAAGTTAATTGTTTTTGTAGATACTTCATGTTTCATGCTGCTTTAAAAAAAAAAATCTTCATAAATAGTTGTTTTCCTACCTATAGAATTCTAAGCTGAAATTGTTTTCCCAGATAAATCTAAAGAAATTCTACTATTTCACCCTCCATTTTAATTTTCTTTTTCTTATTTTTTAGTTCTCCATTCTGTGGAAACCTGAAATCATTTAGTTCCCTGGGTCTTTGTATAAGATCCTTTGGTTTGTACAAACTCTCTCTTAAATTGTTTGATATTCTCTCTCTTTAGCATGCTGAATTATTTCAGTCACAGGCATGTCTCTACCATCCTTTATTGTCCAAGGTTCTTTGTGAGTTTTTCAGGTTATCATCTGTTGTCCCTCAGCTGCAGGAAAACATTTGAACTACTACTTTGACTATACCCACCTTCCTTCTTTTCTCAGTTCTTTTTCTTTCTTTCCTTCTTTCTTTCTTTCCTCTTTTTTGACATTGGAACCCATGAACTTTTGAGACTAAATTAATCATTGCTCTCTTCTCATTTGAGTTCCCTCTGTCTTCTGGATGTTATACTGAGCTTTTCATTTCTGCCAAGATGTTTTAATTTCTATGAGGTGTTGAATAATGACTGTGGTATCTTGTCTCATTTCTTAGACATTCACTTCTTCCTGAAAAGACTTTTCTTCCCTGTTGCTTTTTTTATGTTTGTTCATTTGGATTTCTGTCTTCCATATTAGAGATTTTGTTCAGATATTTGCTTGTTAAATCTTAGTAACAAGTTCAGAACATCTAAAATCAGATTTAGAGGCTCTCTGTGTATGACCAGTTGGGAAGAGAATACTTACCTAATTTAAAATTGTCCTAGCTTAATCTAGGTGACCTGTTATGCTGTAATCTTCAATATGTCCCTGTCTTTGCAGATTTCCTCCTAAGACTGTTAGATTCTCCTGAGAATATTTTATTTCTTCTCTATAGCTCAAGACCCTGATTGCCAGTATTCCAGTAGCTGTCAGGTAACAGAGGTTGGGATCTCTGTATTCTGCTTTCAGAATGACTAATTGATCACTTGCTTTATTTTAAGTTTAAAACAGTCTTTTCAACTCAATCTGGCATTTTCCAGCCTAGAGACTCCCAGCTTATCACTTTTAAAAATATGTACAAAATTTTCTTTAAAAAGTGTAAATTTTATGTGCCAATTAAAAATAATAATAATTTTTAAAAAT